TTATCGTTGCCAGGATAAACTTTCCCTGTCCTCCAAAGGAATCCTGGAGCCGTGTGGGCACAAGCTGTGCTGCCACTCAGTGGCAACACACGGGAGGGTTCCCCCTTGGCCCGAGGATTTCCAGGCAAGGAGAGGCTTTTCCTTGCTTATTTTTAATCCAGTTCATTTATTTATTCCTTACTTAATAAATATTTATATATTTATTCCAGCTGCTGCAACATCACTGTATATTTATAATGGTCTATTCCAAAACATTGTTGTTTTTATGGTTATAAATTGCTTTTTCTGTGCTAGTACACTGGGTTTATATTCATATATATACATGTATTTTCTATATAGTTATATTTAATATTGGGCTTATATTTATACCTTTCTATTTATATATTTATATTTCTACACTGGTTTATATTTTCCAAAATATTCACATATTCACAGCTATAAATTCAATATATTTCAATTTTTTATAGCCATAAATTTTTATATTTGAAACTATTGACACATCCACAGCTATAAATTCAATATACTTTAAGACACTGGCACATTTATAGCAATAAACATATATAACAGAATATTGACACATATTTATTTATATAAATACATATAAATTTAATATGTTTCAAAACAGTGCACATTTATAGCCACAAATTTTATCTATTTCCAAATATCGACGCGTTTTTAGCCGCAAGTTCCCATTTCCACGTCTAAATCCCCTTTTTTTACCGATTTTTGCCCGTTTGTCCGCGGGCGCCTCTTGGCCACGCCCCTCAGATGTGATCACGCCCCTCAGATGTGACCACGCCTCCCCAGCGAGGCCACGCCCCCGGGGAATCCCTTTCCCATTGCCGGGGTGACGTCACCGCGCGCTCGCGTCACGTCCGGCCGCGCACCCGGAAGTGGCCCCGGGAGGGAGGCCGGTTGCCATGGGGGGGCCCGGGAGGTGACGTGGGGGGGAAAAAACACCGGGAATGGGGGTGGGATTGGGAATAGGGACGGGAATGGGGGTGGAAAAGGGGTTGAGAAGGGAATGGGGGTGGGAAAAGGGTGTGGGAATGGGAATAGGGACGTGAATAGGGGTGGGAATGGAATGGGAACAGGAATGGGGTTGAGAACGGGAATGGGGGTGAGAACGGGAATGGGAATGGGGGTGGGATTGGAATAGGGACGGGAATAGGGGTGGGAAAGGGGGTGGAAACGGGAATGGGAATAGGGGTGGGAAAAGAATTCTTTCCCAGTATCCACCTAACCCTCATCGTGCTCCAGTGCTTTCATCATGTGGCCCCGTTCGGTCCCGTAGATCCCTGAATTCCTTGTCCTGGGGAGCCCCAAACTGGCCCCGCGTGCAGCAGTGCTGGGGAGGGGGGGAGAGGATCCCATCCCAGTCCATCCCATGCCGTGGGATGTGCCCGGTGCCGCGCAGGGAATGACCCCCGCTGTGTCTCTCCCGCGGCGCAGGGCGGAGGCGGCTCCGGGTCCGATGGATGCGCCGTGTCCGTCCGCGCTCACCGGCTGAGCTCCGACCGCGGCTCGGGCCTGCCCTGATCCCAGGATGGGCAGGTGAGAATCCCGCGGGAACTACCATGTCAGACTGGGATGGCTGCAGAGCGAAGGGTGATCAGGAATTCGGGGGTGGGAGTAGGGCAGGACATCGTGAAATCCCGGGGTGGTTTGGGTTGGAAGGGCTTTAAAATCATCCCGTTCCACCCCCTGCCATGGGCAGGGACACCTTCCACTAGCCCAGGTTGGTCCAGCCTGGCCTTGGACACTTCCAGGGATGGGGCAGCCACAGCTTCTCTGGGAATTCCATTCCAGGGCCTCACCACCCTCAGAGCCAGGAATTCCTTCCCAGTATCCCATCTAACCCTGCCCTGTGGCAGTGGGAAGCCATTCCCTGTGTCCTGGTCCTCCTGCCCAGCAAACTCCCAGAGGGGTGGGAAAACAGGATCACAGAATCCTGGGATGCTCTGGGTTGGAAGGGACCTTAAAATCATCCAGTTCCATGGGCAGGGGCACCTCCCACTATCCCAGGTTGTTCCAGCCTGGCCTGGGACACTTCCAGGGATGGGGCAGCCACAGATGCTCTGGGAATTCCATCACCCTTACAGGTGATGTGCTGTGCTTTGTTAACTGAGCCATATATAAACATATAAATATATAAATATGGAAATACATAGAAATATATGGAAATATAGAAATATATAGAAGTATATAGAAATATAGAAATATATGGGAATAGAGAAGTATACAGAAATATATGGAAATATGGAAATATATGGAAATATAGAAATATATAGAAACATACAGAAATACAGAAATATAGACATATATAGAAATATAGATATATATAGAAATATAGATATATATAGAAATATATGGAAATATAGAAATATATGGAAATATAGAAATATATAGAAATATAGATATATATAGAAATATATAGTAAGATGTGGAAATATAGAAATATATAGAAATAAATAATATATAAATAAATAAATATATCGATATAAACCCTGCAATTTCAATTAGCTGTGCTATCCTAAGGACTCTGGGAAAGGCAAACCTCCAGCTCTGCACAGCACCACACTCCATGAAGATGTGTTAGATATAACATTTTATTAGTTAATCAGTCCGGGGTGTTTTCCTACCAATTAACAGAAGCCTGAAGAGTAGGAAAAACCGATGGCAAAAATTGGAAGAGCCGCTGTAGGAATGGAACAGAAGAGCGAAGGCTGAGGGATTAAAGCAAAATTAAAGTCGTAGAAGGGAATTCTGAGAATGTCACCTCGGGAATTAACGGGAATCCCTCTTTGGCATTGCAGGCTGAGCATCTCGTGCCTGCTGCCGGCCTCGTGGCACTTCAGCCTGGCTCCCGTGGGGTGCCCGCGGCTCCCGCACCCGTCCCTGCGGCAGCTGCTGCTGGCGGGGGGCGCGGCCGTGGCGCTGCTCTACTGCTCCCTCCTCCTGCTGCGCTCCCGCTACGGCCGCGCCAGGACCTTCCACAGGTGAGGAACAGCATTCCCGGGGCATTCCCGGGACTCGGAGATCCAAAGGGAGAATGCTCTTTATTGGGGCTGGGGGAATTGTTAGTTTTTTCTTGATTATTTTCATTTTATTCCTCATTATGGCAGTGCATTCGGTTGTTTGAATGTTGTTTCTGTGTTTAAATAGCATTGGAATAAATGTTTAATAAATATTTGGGTGAATGTGTTTGTTATGTGAATAAATAATATATAAATAAAATATTTATAAATGTTGATGTGTAATATATTATATAGAATATATTATGTATAGTATATTATATATTATGTATATGTATGTATATACATATTATGTATATAATACATTATATAGTATGTATAATATATTATATATTGTATATCTATTATGTATATGTATGTATATGCATATTATGTATATAATACATTATATAGTATGTATAATATATTATATATTGTATATCTATTATGTATATGTATGTATATACATATTATGTATATAATATATTATATAGTATGTATAATATATTATATATTATATATCTATTATGTATATGTATGTATATACATAATATACAATAGATAATATGTAATAGATAAAATATATTTTAATGTATAATAAGATACATTTATATATACTATATATTAATATAGTATATAAGTCATGGACACTATATATATTAATATTAATAGTGTGTATTCATAGATAATATATAATAGGTTAAATATATTTAATATATAATATAATACATTAATATTTTTACTGTATATTAATGTAGTATATAAGTAATGATACTATATATATTAATATTAATATTATGCATTAATAGACAATATACAGTACATAATATGTAATAGATATAATATATTTTAATGTATAATAAAGTACATTAATATATACTATATATTAATGTAGTATATAAGTAATGTATACGATATATTTATATATTAACAACATTATGTATTAATACTTAATATATATTAATACATTATGTATTAATATATAATGTTTATAAAATATACCTGGTCTAGTGGAAGGTGTCCCTGCCCATGGAAAGGGTTGGACCAGGATGATCTTGAAGGTCCCTTCCAACCCAAACCATTCCATGATTCCATGTGCTGGTTTAGATGGGATATTGGGAAAGAATTCTTCCCTGTGAGGGTGGGCAGGGGCTGGGCTGGAATTCCCAGAGAAGCTGTGGCTGCCCCATCCCTGGAAGTGTCCAAGGCCAGCTTGGAGTAACCTGGGCTAGTGGGAGGTGTCCCTGCCCATGGCAAGGGGGTGGAATGGGATGATTTTAAGGTCCCTCCCAACCCAAAGCATCCTGGGATCCTCTGAAAACTCTGTGATTATCCTATTTTGAGTCTGATTTTGAGAAGAGCTGAGTTGCCCTGGAGTAATTCCCACTTTTTTCCCAGGTATCTCGCCCGAGTGACGGACACGGAAGCCACGGACACGGCCAACCCCAACCTGAACTATGGGATTGTGGTGGACTGTGGCAGCAGTGGCTCCAGGATCTTTGTGTACTGCTGGCCAAGGCACAACGGGAACCCCCACGACCTGCTGGACATCAAACAGATGAGGGACAAGAATAGGAAACCCGTGGTCATGAAAATCAAGCCAGGTACTGGAAAGAAATTCGGTTTAATGGGATTTTCTACAGAGTTTCCTCTCCTAACTTCTGCTTTTCAACCCCCCCAGTGCCTGGAGGAAGGACAGTTGCAGGTTGTGAGGATGAAACTCCTCCAGATTTCTTTGGGTTTGGTTTGCAGGGGGTTTTGTTGAGCTTTAAGACCTGAAACAGGGCTGGGGGGAGAAGTTTCTGCATGGACAAAACAGCTGCTGGTTCAGTTGTCATTTCACTTTATTCCTTTTTATTGAGGGAATAAACCATTGCCTTCCTGTAAAGCTGTTTGAACAAGTTACATAAATAATAATAGAAAAACATATTATATCTCTATTATTACTCTTTTATTTGTTGTTTAGAGGATGATTAAGGATGAATTTCATTCAGATTTCCTAGAGTCGATTCCCCACATGTGGCTTGGGGTTTTCAGACCGATGCTGAGGTTTGCAGGCTGGGTTATTCATTTCTCTGCCTGTTGGTGTTCAGGATTTCCCAGGGAATGCCCCAAACCTGAGTTGCTTCCCTTCCATGTTTTATTTTCCCCCAGGGATCTCGGAGTTTGCCAGCTCTCCTGACAAGGTCAGTGATTACATCTCACCCCTCCTAAGCTTCGCTGCCGAGCACGTGCCCCGTGCCAAGCACAAGGAGACTCCTCTGTACATCCTGTGCACTGCAGGCATGAGGATCCTGCCCGAGAGGTGGGTGCCTGCCTTATTTTTTTGGGATTTGGAGCTGCAATCCTGGTGGCTCTGGCTGGTTTTGACCCTTCCCAATGGGATTTTGCAGCCAGCAAAAGGCCATCCTCGAAGACTTGCTCACTGATATCCCTGTGCAGTTTGATTTCCTGTTCTCTGACTCACATGCAGAGGTGATTTCAGGCAAGCAGGAAGGTAAGTGAACTTTCCCAAGGTTATCTTTAAAATATTTACTGCTTTCAAGGTAGTTTGGGTGCTTTTTTTTTTCACTTTTTTTGAATTTTGATTTGCTCGGGAGCCCTTTTTCCTCACTAGCAACATATGGAGCGTGGAGCTGCTCAGCCTCTGGGATCTTCTAACATGTCTAAATGTTTTCTGATGAACAGTGAAAATAACTTGGCTGGGTTAGCAGGAATTTAATCCATTTTCCTAGGGAGGGAGGGAGAAAGAAGGAGAAAGCACAACATTCTTGCTGGAAGAAGCTTTGCAGGGTGAAATGATTTCTAAGGGAGAGATGTTGATGTGATCAGCTCTCTGAAGGCTTAAAATCACTTTAAAAGCCAACATGCTTAACTTCTTTTAAAATTAAGGCATCAAAGTATCTTAAATACATTCAGTTAAGATTATTATCATAGCCTTGGAGAGAAGGACTAGTGTAACTTGTCAGGAATTAAAGATTTCTCAGGAAGGTTTTACTTCTAAGTGTTGTATGAAATAAAATGTGAGCAGTAATATGTCTTCACTTATATAGGAAAAAACACCTCTTTGTTTTTAAGTTGATATTCCAGCTATTCCTGTAGTATCCTGATATCTTTCCTTGTACATGTAGGAGTCTATGCATGGATTGGCATCAACTTTGTCCTGGGAAGGTTTGAACACACAGATGATGGTGAGTGTCTGAATTGTGAGGGGGGGATCTGGGAGGGACCTGAGGTCAAGTCCTGTGCTTCAGGGGATGAGTTTTTGGACAGAGACTGGGGACTGGGGTGTTTTCAGACAGATGTTGGTGACTGCTTTTAGACAAATTTTGGTGGCTGGTGTTTTTAGAAAGATGCTGGTGACTTTTCAGGCAGAAGTGACTTTTCAGACAGATGTTGGTGACTGCTTTTAGACAAATTTCAGTGACTGGTGTGGTTTCAGACAGGTGTTGGTGACTGTTTTCAGGCAGATGTGACTTTTCAGCCAGATGTTGGTGACTGTTTCCAGCCAGATGTTTGTCCCTGGGGTGTTCCCAGCCAGATGTTGGGACTGTTTCCAGCCAGCTGTTTGTCCCTGGGGTGTTCCCAGCCAGATATTTGTCCCTGGGGTGTTCCCAGCCAGCTGTTGGTCCCTGGGGTGTTCCCAGCTGGATGTTGATGACTATTTCCAGCCAGATGTTTGTCCCTGGGGTGTTTCCAGCCAGATGTTGGGACTGTTTTCAGCCAGATGTTTGTCCCTGGGGTGTTTTCAGCTGGATATTGGTGACTGTTTCCAGCCAGCTGTTGGTCCCTGAGGTGTTCCCAGCCAGATGTTGGGACTGTTCCCAACCAGCTGTTTGTCCCTGGAGTGTTCCCATCCAGATGTTTGTCCCTGGGCTGTTCCCACCCTGCTCTTGGTCCCTGCCCCACGTGCAGGTGCCGCGTTGCCTCGATTCCCACGTGCCCCTTCCCCGCCCTCCCTCCGAGCATCTCCCCAGCAGCAGCTCCAGCTCTGGGCCCTCCCCAGCTACATCCCTTTGATTTTTCCCTGTTCCCTGCAGAGGAGGAGGCCATGGTGGAGGTGCACATCCCGGGCAGCGAGCACCAGGAGTCCATATTCCGTAAGAGGACTGTGGGTATCCTGGACATGGGCGGAGTGTCCACCCAGATCGCGTACGAAGTCCCTAAAACTGTAAGCTTTGCCTCCTCACAGCAGGTTATTATCTGTGCAACTTTCCTCTTTGCCTTTGGAGTTATTTTAATGCATATTCCTCTTTGTTTTCTTCGTTTTTGAGTCCTCCATCCCATCACATTCCCCAGGCAAGGCCAGAGGCGATGACGGGAGTCCTCCACCAGCTAAGAACTCATTTGTGTTTTGTTCACCCTTCCATTCCCATGATCTGCCACTCATTTTGGAGTTCTGTTCTTTGTGTGTGTGTGCATGTTTAGTTTTAAATCTGTTAGGCAGTAAAAAAACTGGTATTCTGGAGCTCAGGAACCAAAAATATGTGGTGGCTCTTATGTAACAGCTTATATAAGAGTGACTTTGTCCTTCAACTTGTGTTGGGAGAGACTGAATTAACAGGACATGGGGGTGACAGGTTTGTTTAAACATCACCTACACCCTCAGCACAGTTCAGCTCTTGCAGGAAGCAAATTGCTTTGTTACAAGCCTCAAATTGAATATAAATTGCCTCAGCTCCACTGAGTTCTAAGCAATTCCTGAATTTTTAAGGTTGAACCTCCCATTAAATTAATTGAGAGTTAAAAAGTGACAACAGCATAAAAGCCCCGTGTTTTGGCTCTCAGTGCACTGTTGTAATGATCTGTATATTGATTTTTTTTAAGCCTCCCTGTGAAATGATGTGTTTTCGTGGTTCCAGGTTTTAATAACTCCAGACAGGTGGTGTAACAAAGAACTGGGGCTGTTCAATGTTTAGATCCAGAGCAGATTGCCCCAGGCAAAGATGAGCTGGGAATTTGGGTGACTATTGATGGCTCTGCCTGAACATAAACTGCTATAAAATGGGTGTTTTGATCATTAAACCTGTCCTGGAGGGAGACTCACTCCGGGGTGGGAACACTGAGTTTAGTGGCCACAACACACATTTTTTCATGGGAGAAGATACTTCAGGGTCCTTGGGAGCTGTTCCTGGTCTTTGGAGTTCCTTGAGTGTCAGGAGTGCAGTTCTCTACAATTAATATTTTGCTTTCCCTGTGAAGCAGAAGGTGATTTCCTTGGTTTGGTACAAATGAGGGGGGAGATGATCATCCCTGAGGAAAAGTCTGGAAATATTGGGGTTGTGAAGGGTTGTCCAGGGCAGTGGTGGACTCCCAATCCCTGGAAGTGTTAAAAAATCTGTGGATATGGCACCTGGGGACACAGCTTAGTGGTGAACACGGTGGTGGGTTGATGATCTTAAAGGTCTTTTCCCACCTTAATTCCCTGGGATTCTGTGTTGACCTGGGAGAAGCAGAACAGATGAGTGAGGGATGAAGTCGAAAGTTGTCCAAAGAACTCGTTTGAGGTCCTGCTTTTTGTCCTGTTCACCCCTAATCCTGGTGCTTGTGTTGCTGCAGGAGGAAGTGGCCAAGAACCTCCTGGCAGAATTCAACCTGGGCTGTGATGCCCATCAGACCGAGCACGTGTACAGGGTCTACGTGGCCACATTCCTTGGATTTGGAGGGAATGCAGCCCGGCAGAGATATGAGGACAGTCTGTTTGCCAGCACTGTGCTGAAAAACAGGTACCTGGGGGGATTGACCCTGGCAGGGGGTGGCTGCCCCATCCCTGGAAGTGTCCAAGGCCAGCTTGGAGCAACCTGGGCTAGTGGAAGGTGTCCCTGCCCGTGGAAAGGGGTGGACCGGGATGATCTCGAAGGTCCCTTCCAACCCAAACCATTCCATGATTCCATGTGCTGGTTTAGATGGGATATTGAGAAAGAATTCTTCCTCCCTGTGAGGGTGGGGAGGGGCTGGGCTGGAATTCCCAGAGAAGCTGTGGCTGCTCCATCCCTGGAAGTGTCCAAGGCCAGCTTGGAGCAACTGGGCTAGTGGGAGGTGTCCCTGCCCGTGGCAGGAGGTGGCACTGGGTGATTTTCAGGTCCCTTGCAGCCCAAACCATTCCATGATTCCATGTGCTGGTTTACACGGGATATTGGGAAAGAATTCTTCCTCCCTGTGAGGGCGGGGAGGGGCTGGGATGGAATTCCCAGAGAAGCTGTGGCTGCCCCATCCCTGGAAGTGTCCAAGGCCAGCTTGGAGCAACCTGGGCTAGTGGAAGGTGTCCCTGCCCGTGGCAGGAGGTGGCACTGGGTGATTTTCAGGTCCCATGCTGGGCTGAGGGTTCTGGGCTCACCAGTGACACAAAGCTCAATTCCCACTCTGAGGGGGTTTGGTTGGTGCTGTTGGGTCTCAGAGCTCCATCTCTCTGACCTGCTCTTTGTCTTTCCCACAGACTGCTGGGCAGACAGACTGGCCTGAGCTCTGATTCCCCAGTGCTGGATCCCTGCCTGCCCCTGGATGCTCAGGATGAGCTCCAGCAGAACGGGCAGGTCCTGCACCTGCGGGGAACGGGAGATTTCCACCTGTGCCGGGAGCTGCTCCAGCCCTTCATGAACAAGACCAACGAGACCCAGACCTCCCTGAACGGGGTTTACCAGCCTGCTGTGCACTTCCAGAACAGCGAATTCTATGGATTCTCCGAGTTCTACTACTGCACAGAGGATGTGCTGAGGATGGGAGGAGATTACAACGCTGCTAAATTCACTAAAGCTGCCAAGGTAAAATGTGCTGGAGATCATTTCCTGCTTTTTAGTTTTCTTAATTCAAAACATCCACCCTCAAGGAGGATTTTGTTCCAAAAGTCTTGCAGCAAAACTTTTTCCTTCAAAGATCCCAAATCCTTTTTTTTCCCCTGCAACAAACCCTCACAGGGCTCTCAATTCCTCATCCAAGGTTGGATGGGGCTTGGAGCTTCCTGGTCTACTGGAAGGTGTCCCTGGTGGAACTGGATGATTTCAAGGTCCCTTCCAACCCCAAAATCCATTCCAGGATTCCATGGTTGGGTTTTCTTTTAGAAGATTTATTTTAAGGCCCAAGAGTAAAATTCACTTTAGAAGTATTTATGGTATCAAGTTCCAGCAGAACTGCTGATAATGGGAAAATCCATCCTGCTTCCACCCCTTGCTTCTTTTTAGGAATGTCTTAATCATTAAAAAAAAATATCCTTTTCCTCCTGCTTCATACATTCTGTGCCAGTTTTCCAGGTGTTACTCCCAAAGGGATCAATCTGCTGGGAACAGGTAAAACTACAACACAAAGCAGAGGAATAAGACAATTTGCCGAGGCCCTGAAAACAGCTTGTCTGTTTTCCACCTCCAAAGTGCTCAAGTGGTACTGGACATTAATTTAACCCCAAACTCTGAGTTACAAATTCAAAATGTCACAGAAAACACTCATGAAATTTGTGATCTGTGCCAGGGAAGCTGTTCAGGTGTTTCAGAGCATCTCACCCAGTGGCATTTTTACCTCGTGGAGGCAGAAGCACCATTGTAATGTTGATTTTCTTCGCCTTTTTTTGTTTCTCTTGCAGGATTATTGTGCCACTAAGTGGTCTGTCCTCCTGGAGGCAGAAGCACCGTTTAAATGTTGTTTTTTCACCTTTTTTTTGTTTCCCTTGCAGGATTATTGTGCCACTAAGTGGTCTGTC